TGGGCTGAAGCTATTCCTTTGCCGAATGTTCAGGCTGAAACCATCGTGAAGGCCTTCGTCAGTCGTTGGGTCGCCATGTTCGGTGCCCCATCCATGGTTACGACTGATCGTGGTGCCCAGTTTGAGTCGGCACTTTTCCAAATGCTACTCAATTTCCTTGGCTGCACACGCATTCGGACGACAGCCTACCACCCCGCTGCCAACGGTATGGTGGAACGTTTCCATCGCCAGCTAAAGACCGCCCTGCGTGCCGTAGAAGACCCAGGAAACTGGTCGGACAACCTTTCCTCTTGCACTCCTCGGCATCCGCGCAGCTCTGAAGTCGGATCTGGGCTGTAGCGCAGCCGAATTGGTTTTCGGCACTACCCTCCGACTGCCAGGCGCGATGATCACCCCAACCTCTCGTGGAGCCGACGAGACTCCTGACAATCTTGTGCACCGTTTGCGACAATTTATGCGCTCGCTTTCCCCGGTTCCACCTCGAGCTCCAATGACTGAGTCTTATGTCGAAAAAGACTTGGACAAATGTACTCATGTGTTCGTCCGGTGTGACCGTGTGCGCCAGCCGCTGGAATCACCATATGAAGGACCGTTCCGCGTGCTCGCGCGCAACACCAAGACCTTCCGAATTCTTCGCAATGACAAGGAGGACGTGGTCAGTGTCGATCGGGTCAAGGCTGCTGTTGCGGAGGAGCCGCCGGACCTGTCACAAGGACAAACATGTGCTGACCCCCTAACCTCTGTTCCTCCATCTTCCCTATCCCCTACTCGTTCACCCTGCCCACCGCCTTGCCCTTCCCCTCCCTTGCCCTCTACCCCTCCGTCCCGCATACTTCCTCTCCCTACATGTCAACAGCATCCAACTGCAACACCATCGTCCACCACAGCACGCAGTCAACCCTCTTCGACTGTACCTCCTGCATACATAACTCGCAGTGGCCGTCACGTTCATTTTCCTGATCGTTTAGTTACCCATTTTTTCTAGACTTGTGCATATCCTCCGGCGCCGTATCCCGTCGCCCTCCGGTCTAGAAGGGGGGTACTGTGGTGAGGTACCTGACTAATTTACCTTTGACAATTCAGTCCCATTTCCTTTGACCGCATTGCTTGTTTGAATGTGACGAGAAACGACACACCTGTACAACCCGCCGTGCTAGCGTGCTCTGCTGTGGTATTCTGTTGTCAGTTTTCTTAACGTTCAAAAACCTCTATATTATTCACTGCTCCGATTTACTTGCTGCATTTAAGGCTAGGGGCTCGTGAGATATAACTCGTTAGTTCGTGAGAACATTACCATTTACGACAATATAATTGGAGCTGCAGGGTTTGCAAACGAGCTGGGCTGTAAAGGCTTGGTAGATCTAAGAGAAGGCGGCGTACCCCTAAGTGCAACTGTACTACTCTTCTTTCGGGTCGGAGTCTGATTCAGCTGTGGATTCCCACCGTTCTGACGCTAAGCCACAGGTGACTTAACTGTAGAGCCTGCAGCACACAGTTGAACAGGGGAAGTTATCATGCTAGCTAATAAAGACGGATTTTTATGTGTACAAGCGGGGCTATCCGGAGGACGCGAAACGACAAATGGGGCTACTGCTGCTGCTACTAGTTTAGGGGCAGGCAAATGCGTCAAGTGGCATGAGTGAGATGGAGATGTAGGAGTAAGGGGAAGGAGGGAGTCACATGTCACAGGAGTAAGACCAGCTGAATCCTCAAGGCCATTTGTATTATGACCGAGTTGATGAGCATCAGACTGAGAAGCAGTGGGTTTACGTGAGAATAGAGACCCGATTCTACGCTCCATAGGAGTAAGATCATAACCAAGGAAAAATTTTGCATTTTCCAGGTACGTAGTGACACGCTCTCGATAGGCATAGATTGAGTCAATCTCGATTGATGAAAATAGTTTGACTAAGACTGGCGGATTTTTGCTACGGGAGGACAAGCGTTTAGCGTCGGCTATTTTGTACTTGAAACCAAGTGAATACAAGAAATTGGTCACAACATCTATTGGCTGAGCAGATCGAGGAAGAGAAAGTTATAAGAACGCTATCGTCTATCACTAGATTCACTGGCGATCAGGCGAACAAGTGAGTCAAGACGTCTACATTTTTCAGAGGGAATATCGGAGATGTTTACGTCGAATAAACTTCCAAAAACTAACAATTAAGTGCCAAACTATAGCAAAAATCATTTCAGTTGTCAAGTGCAGACCAATTAAGCTTCCGACCAATTACAACGGGTGACGACTGACTTGTGGATGGAGTGAGCAATTCCAAATAGTTTTAAGAGTTCTTGCTCACTTTTCAAATGCCTACATCTGTTCAAACGCGCGGCTTATGATTGTAACACTTCGTTACTCGTTGTTGACTTTATTCTATTTCATGGATATTTTCAGTGCTGTCGTTTTCCCATGACGTTCGCTCCGCCATTAGCTCATCGGCTCCTAAGTCCGCCCTGAAGCTCCACGAAATTCCGTTAAACTTCCGTTGATCATCAAGTTTGAGTATAAGCTTATATTTGGAGTTCTCGAACCTAAGCGTAGGATGGTCCACCCGGAACCATTAGCTGACGTGTGTGATGACATGCTTGTTTTAATGCATCAGCTGTTTTTTCGTGCATAATTGATGGGCCTTTTAAACACCCTCCCTGATTGGGTCTGAACGACTGCGGCGGTGTCATAGCTCGGCAGTAGTACGCACCCTATTTGACGTGCTATTAACAACCACCTTATGGATAAGAAGATATCCAGTGGAAGATTCATAAGCTAATGATTGTTTCATATCGGATATCTACTGCTGACTCTGTCTTACCCGTTATACCGAAAGGCTATTTTCTTCTCCCCTCTAAATCTCTACTCCTGTGATCTTTATTTCGACTCACACAAAAATGCTCCGTAATCCACCCCCAAACATGCCGGATAATGCCAGCGAAAAGTATGGATGTACGGTGCAGGAGCTACAGGAGATGATGCAGTTGCGCGGGGCCGAGGCTGTCGAATATATTAAGTCGAAATACGGCGGCATCGATGGACTATGCAAGAGATTAAGAACCTCCCCCCATAACGGTAAGCGCCAAATCTCGGATATGACTGTTTTCCTTGCGGCTTGTTTGTCGATGTTAGCATTTAAAAAGCCCGAAACTATGCAATCTGTGATCATTTTCCGAAGAAGTTGCTGATATTTTTTTTAAACGCAGCATACTTTCGGTCGATAAACGTTGATGCACAACATTTAAACCGCAGAACGGACATCGTATTCCATTTTTTGGTCAATCCTTGGGTTTAGACGGTGTTTATTAATGGTTAAAACGGATACCTTTCTTATAGGATGGGATGTTTTCTCACTACTTGATTTTAAAGCCCTCATGACGCCCAAGCGACCAGATAAAACCTTCATGATCTCAGATTCACGCCGTACTTTTTATTGCTTCTTTGGAAAGAATAGAGCACCTATATAATCCAGATACATGCTGTGAAACCGCGTTTATTTACTCATGTGAGTAATTTCGTAACAGACCTCAATGCACTGATTACCCACTAAGCCAGTTTTCCATGTCCATACACGAATTTTTACCAGATCAGACCAAACAACACCTGAATGCTTAATCAAGCGCAAAAGGATGCTGGAATTATTTTCCATTGTGTTTGCAATTGTTTAGCGTTTAAAAAACGCGCCTGCGTGTGGGCCTCTAACCTTCCTTTAACACGCCGGTCTTTTTAACTTTTTATCTCAATGGCCGTTTTTACTAACTCAAACGTGTTTCTTAACATACGTTTTACTGTCTGAATAGAAAATGTATGTTGCTTCGTTTACGTGTACAATAAATATAAAAGGCATTATATATAAAAGGCATTATATATGCATTATATATGCATACTGAAAGGTGAGCATCCCGGGAAATATGGGATGAGTGGAAATAAGTTCTTCCGAGAAGCCAACAAAATTGAGTTCGTACGTTTTCGGCGCTGCTTCTGCCGACCCCTGTGAGACACGAAATATATACACATAACATTAAAACCTTCAAGTATATCTGCAAAACTCAATATTTCCAATGATAACGGGACCACAGTTCACACCAGTCGCCTAATGATGAAAATTGCAGACCAGTATTAACTTTTCCTTTCATGTTTAGAGTTTTGACTATGCCAAATAAAATCTGTCACTTTTTATAAAGGACTTATTTGCCTTCTATGTGTATGTATATATTTAGAAAGTAATAAGTCCTTTAATAAACTCAATAAACTTCATTGGATAAATTTTCGACACCGGTTTCCCAGGTCGTCTTCAGACGTGTAGCTCATTTGCTTGAAACTATTCTTGTGTAGAAAGATATATGTCTACTGAGATGCTTAATATCTCTTATGATTACATTCCTGCACGGCCAGCACTTAAGGTGAATCATCTATACGAAGCTAGAAGGTGCTGGACTGATCAAGAAGGCAGTAGTGTTTTTGTCTTATTGCTTCATTTTCAAATTCATAGTTACTAATG